TCCGCTCAGTACGAAGCGTTTAACAAACTACATGAATAACAATGCAAGGAAATTGTTGTTCGTGCGTTATTATGAATAACAATTAAAACACTTAATCGTTATTCACGTGGAATGGATGGTGAAATGATAGATTATTGATAATTGATGGATGATGATAGGATAAATGAGGAATTAACAAGTCGCAAGGAATATTGAATTTAAATAAAAATGCAAAAACTGTAAAGATTAGACTTACACATTCATTCGCAAGTGCACCTGTTCACGATGGGTCACGGTCAATGGGTCAGCGTGTTTGCCGCTCGCAGATAGGCCACAGCTGATCTTCTGTCCAGGAAAGGTACCCCGCACCTTCACTGTCACTTCACACTTAAAGATTTTAACACACTGAGATTGTTGCCCCTACGTTCTATCAATACACGTCTTTGAAAGGAGCCGATTGATTTTTATACACGAACTCAACTTCATTACACCACTGTCGCTCTTCACATAAAAAATTTCCAACACTTACACTGTCGTCCCTGCATTCTAACATTAAACGTCTCCGAAAGGAGCCGATTGTTTTTCATTTACAAAATGAACTTCACTATCCGTGTGGTCCGTGAACTACACGATGCACGAAGGGCGCGACTCGACCGGGATGATTTGTATCGGCATCGGCGGATAACCATCTTCGCGTTAGGCGAATGCTCGGATTATTTCGTAATACTCTGTTGGATTTTTCGGGCTCCATCATTGAGTTGACGTGCACTACTCGATACCTATTGATTCGTTTCTCACAACTTTCCTTCGGGAGAATTTTCCCCACTCGATGGCCAAATTCTTTAGTGAAAATGTTTTTAGCATTCCTGAAAGAAACCCAACCTACGATTCCTTGTAATATTTGGAACATTTCCCACGTGTTAAACACCCGATACTTCCGCGACTCGCAGCCCACAAAGCCGTAGACGCATTGTACGCAGGTAAAAGCCGTGCCATAATACGTACGAAAGAACTTTCGCCAGCTTATTATTTTCGATTTCCCTTAACGTGTAACTAGTTGAACGTGTAAAATACGACCCGCCGGTATGCACTCCATCTGGCATTAGTGGTAAAAAAAGTAGGACATCTTTTATTACGTTCAACTAGTCAAAGACACTTTTTATTATCGAACATGTGTTTTTAAGGGTTTCTTTCAGGAATGCTAAAAACATTTTCACTAAAGAATTTGGCCATCGAGTGGGGAAAATTCTCCCGTAGGAAAGTTGTGAGAAACGAATCAATAGGTATCGAGTAGTGCACGTCAACTCAATGATGGAGCCCGAAAAATCCAACAGAGTATTAAGAAACGATCCGGGTGTCCGCCTAACGCGAAGATGGTTATCCGCCGATGCCGATACAAATCATCCCGGTCGATTCGCGCCCTTCGCGCATTCGTGTAGTTCACGGGCCACGCGGACAGTGAAGTTCATTTTGTGAATGAAAAACAATCGGCTCCTTTCGGAGACGTTTAATGTTAGAGTGCAGGAACGACAGTGTAAGTGTTGGAAAATTGTTAAGTGAAGAGTGACAATGGTGTAATGAAATTGAGTTTGTGTATAAAAATCAATCGGCTCCTTTCAAAGATGTGTATAGATAGAACGTAGGAGCAACAATCTCTGTGTGTTAAAATTTTTAAGTGTAGAGTGATAGTGATCGTGCGGTGTTTTGTCATTGCGGGGTTCTTTCCCTGGACAGATCAGCTGTGGCCTACCTGCGAGCGACAAAGATGCTGACCCATTGACCGTGACACATCGTGAGCAGGTGCACTTGCGGATGAATGGGTAAGTCTAATCTCTACAGTTTTTGCATTTTCATTTAAATTCGATATTCCCTACGACCTATTAATACATTAACGGCGGGCGATTTCGACGAAAGTATGCTAGGTAGCGCGGCAGCCGCCCCGCCTCGTTTTTCGGCCTAGAGCGGGCGATATTTTGTGTGATCATAAAAAAATTTAGACTTAAAAAAGTTTATTTAAACTCTTAAAACTACAAGAAATATTAAAAAAGAACTAAACACTAATTACAAAAAATGTTTTGAAGTACATATTTATGAGAAGAATCTAGTATTTTTTAAGAGTGTGATAATGTTGATAACACTCGCCACGGTGAAGAGGTGCATTGCAAAACTCGCATTTGAAGCAAGTCAACTTTCTTTTTTTATGTGCCGCACAAACTACGCAGTTTCGTTGGGCATATAGCTTTTTGCCTTTATTTTCTATCCGAATTAAGTTGTGCTTTTTGATGTCTAGCGAAAGACGTCCAGGCGGATCAATTTTATACCGTGGAGTCCGTGGTGCCGAGTTCGATATACCACGTTGTGGCTCTTCAATGTCCATCAATTCCAGATCTTCGGTTTGTTTGTCAGTTATAAAACAGCGTGATAATTCTAAAAAAATTTTTTATATGGCAAGCTACTATTATTATGCATGTTATATACTAAATAGGAATTGAAAAATGCACAATTTAACAAATACATTACAGCCCGCTTGGACCACTTTTTTGTTTTTCGCAATATTGAGTAGTACGAAAGGTACTGGTCTGCCCTATCAACACCTTTCATATAGTTGTTGTATTCTATTACGCATTTTGGTTTCATTATTTTTGTCTTTGTGTGCCAATCTGTATTGGAGCTTTCTAATAGTTCACTCGAATGAATATTCGAAATCATCCTCACTTCTCTCTTTGACTGCCAAATTTGTACTAACACGTCTCCTTTTCTCCGGAAAATTGACTGTCCGCGTTGCAACTTATTATTTTTTAATTCATGTGGAAGTCCTCGGTTTACACGTATTGTTCCACAAGTTCGTATTTTATGTTTTAAAAGAGTTTCGTTTATATCTACACTGTTATAATAATTATCCATAAACACATGATAATATTTGTCTTTATATGGAGTAAGAATATCTAATATTGTTTCCGCCAGTTTCCTTCCTTCTCCACAATACATTTTCATATTACCAATGTAGCCACTTTTCGATTCAGCCACAACTCTCACCAAGATTCCATATTTAATAATTTTCGAGGCATTGTAAACTTTAAATCCCAATCTTCCACGCCATGGTATGATGCTTTCGTCTAGTGAAATCTCTCTTCTTGGTGTATATACAGTATTGAATTTTTCAACCAAACTGTCATAAACAGGTCGAATTTTAAATAGACGGTCGCTCGATTCATCCATTTCATCGTTGTTCACAAAGTGCCACCATCTCCATATCTCTTTAAATCTATCACGACTCATTGTCTTTGGAAATATTGGTGTTTCTAATAATGGATCTGTTGTCTAATATTCATAGATAGTACTTTTTGGAATTTGGCCCATTAGAATTAGTAATCCTAAAAATTTCTTGAATTCGCTAATAGTGAGATCCGTCCATTTTATCGCTTTCTTCTTTTTAACGTACTTTTTCGACGTTTTGATGGTGATATCGGTTAGTTTCTGTTACCATCATTTCGTAGAAATTATCATCAAGAAACACATCCAGAGATCCTTCAACGCCGTTCTGTGGTAAAATATTTAACCCCGTTCGATCCAAAAACGGTTCTATAGTAGGTGGAATGTCGACTTCAGTCCATTGAGGTATAATTTCTTCTTCATAATCATTTTCACTTTCATCATCGCTAATCGGTAGTGGAAAAACTCGGGTCCTTCTCATAGGTCGTATAGACCTATCACTATCGTCAATATCACTATCAATATTATCAATATCTAACCCTCTTTCATCGCAATCAACGTCAGACAAATCGTCTGCATATATATCTTTATTTTCGCGTGAAACCATATTGAAGGATTTCAAAATTTACTGTAAGTAGAATTTGAACAGCTTCAAACTACAAAACATACTAAGTACAAATATAAAGTGGCGCATGGTGGTTGCGAACTGTACTAATGCGACTCCCGCCTTCATTCGAGCTAAATCGTATTACTACGACTCCCGCCTTTAAGGAACAGTCGAGCTAAATCGTATTACTACGACTCCCGCCTTTAAGCCGCAGTCGAGATAAATCGTAGTACGACGACTCCCGCCTTTAATGTGTTAATTCCTCATTTATCCTATTATCATCCATCAATTATCAACAATCTATCATTTTCCCATCCAGTCCACGTGAATAACGATTAAGTGTATTAATTGTTATTCATAATAACGAACAAACAACAATTTCCTTGCATTGTTATTCATGTAGTTAAATGCTTCATACTGAGCGGAGCACTTGTCCAAACGCGTGAAAGACCGGGGGGCTGGATCCGAGCCAACGCTTCCGAGTTGGAGCCCGTGTTGACCGAGCGCTCTGATCCGTGTTTTTCATAACTCGGTAACCAAGCCCCATTCTGCATTTTGCCAAAGGAAATTGTTGTTGAGGAAAACCCTCCCATTCTGCCATTTTCGTCTCTAACACTTTTTCTGGGACACCCTGTATGTATTTTAGATATGTACAATGAAGGAATTATTAAGGAATAATTAAATTATAAGCTTAGAAAGTTACCTGGTATTAAGCAGAGTTATTATAAAGAGTTAGTTAGATATAACTGCTGGCCTAACAATATTTTTTCTTTGTAGCTCCCTCCTTTGCGTCGTGGTGTTTGTCACTATATTAATCGTTTTACTACCCAGAGACATTAAGAGGAATAAAGACGCTCATTGACAGGGAGAAATGGATCTCATTAATTTTTCAAATCCATTTGCACGTACGAAGAGGCGCTTGCATAGCTGTAAGTGCAAGAGCATAAATTATTCTGCTCACAATCAAGCGCACTTAAAATGTAGTTTCATATTAAATTATTGGAAGTAATAACAGGGCGTGAAGCGAACGGATGAATAAATGAAGCATGAGCAAGTTAGAAATTGGCTAGTCTTATTCTGTCCATTACTCGTATTCAATAATTTAAACTATACGTTTATGGTTTATACCAAACCAAAAGGGTTTTATACTTATGCTTGTGTTTGTTATGTTAATTCGCAGTTCTACATAGGCTCTCTAAACGCTACTGCTACTCCGGACAAGTATGAATTAGAAAGTTATAAATCCTTCCATGGAAATAAAAAGTATCAAAATAAAATTTTTAGTCGATCAACTAAGCCGAACTTTTCATTGCTCGCTTGTTTTATTGAACTGATGATCATTAATTACATCCTTGCTTAATATGATTGAACATTATATGAGGGTGACTAAAATGTATGCAAGCGCTGTTGGCATATGGCCGCATCAGAGTCCAGTGCGAAAGAACATTCTTCGCATCTACATTAATGTTATGGTTGTTCTATCGTTAATAACGCAGGTGTGTACGATTTTTAATAAAAAATGTAATGATTGTACAAATAACTACCGATCGTTTTTTTAACACGTTTCATGAAGAGTATAGTTTCAAATCGAGAAAAGACAATTTTGTGCATCGTAATTTAATTTTGACTGATGAGTATCACATCGATTTTAGATCAGCAGAGTCGTACTATACGCAAGTACCGATTCTTTAGTGGATCAAATTCCTTTTTTGGGGGTGGCCGTCGCTACATTTGTGAAGTATAGCAATTATCAGTTTAACGACGTGAAGGTGAATTGAACTGAATATAATGGCAACATACATACATACACGCAACCCTGTTATTGTGCGGGGGATAGAGACCGCATAAAAGAAAATGCAGAAGAAAGAGTATTCCGAAATTTAATGAATAGCTATAAAAAATATTGTTTGCAGTACATTTAAAGAAGAAAAAAAAAAATTTTTTTACGTAATTTCTATCCATCGCATAGAAAATGTCTCACGTAGAAAATAACTCACAGAAATTACTCTCCCAAACAAGATAACAAAATTAATTTATACATGGCAACATTTTTAAATATTTTATTCACTTATATGTTCTATATAGGATCTTCCAATAAGAGCGATAGTTCTTTCGCCGCATCGCTTAGGGCCATGTAGTCGGCTTCCGTCGTAGAAATTGTCGTGGTGCTCTACGCCATTCGTACTTGTTAGATATGACGAAACGGCTCCCGACAATATTTTGGGCTTGCGATTTTGGTACCTGGATCCATGCTTCACTTTTAATAAGTGATACAACCTCATATCCAAGGCTTCCATCCATTTATATGAATCCGGATTCTGTAAAGCTTGAGTTACTGAAACATCAGCCAAAAATGCAGCATCTTCTGTGATAGAATTGTTAGCATTTTGATCATTGGTTGTTCGCTGAAGAATTCTCCCTTGAAGGTTGAGGTTCTGCAGTACTTTTATTTCTGGAATAAACACTAGTTTTCTCATTCGTTGATTCCCATAGTACTTCAGTAGAATTGGTACATTATCTATCTGGAGGAAATCCCTGAGGTATCTCTTTGTCAAATTCTTCCGCTGAATGACCGATCCCAACTTCATCTGAATCAGAATCGTGTGTACCACAATTCGAGCCTCTATTCAATTGCACTTCTGCGAGGACATCCTCGCTTGATTCATCTATTCTCCAAAAATCTCACTTTCTTGGATATTTTAATGTTCCCTTCATTTGGTATCTAAATTCTGTAGCCTTTGGATTCGTTCTTGTAACCAACAAATTTGAGTGAGTCCAGCTTACTTTGTCCCGAGGACCAGGGTTCTCATAATTTATCCCGCACGGATCGCTTCCCCTCTTTTTCGCCCGTATTTCGACCCCCACTACTATTCTCCTCATGCGCCTTCGCTGACCATGCCTAGCATACCCCCATCAAGTACCAGTCCCCACCATGGTCGCGTCGCCCCCACTTTCCGGCCGAGGGATAAATTATGAGAACCCTGCCGAGGACCTACATATGTATATTGACCATTGCATATACTTCGCATCCAAACTGGAACTACTTACATCAGGCACTGAACCGAGCCATAGTTCATGCGGTATCTTGCCATCTAGCCTTTTTGAGGGTCGTCTACAGGGTGCCCCAGGACTAGTGGTACATATTTTAATGGGACGTTCCTGAGGTGATTTTAAACAACTTTTTCCTTTGCGAAAAAGTTGTCCGAGGCGTGGTTATTGAGTTATTAACAAAAATCCCCGACCAATCAGAGCGCGAGTATACATGGCGGGCAGGAGCGCGGCAACCGCCTCGTGCATTGCCGCGCCCGTATGTCGCGCTCACGACGAGAGTACAGGTTGGAACAAAAGTTTCATGCAAAAAGAAACTAAGAAATTGATGAAATATTACAGAAAACAAAGCAATTAGTCGTTAGTCACGTTCGCTCAATAAATGTAACATACTGAATGAAATAACTAACAACTTTATAAATTACACAGTATGTAAAGCATAAAAAATGGGAAAATAATGAGAGTTAGACTTACTTCTTGGTTGGTAGGTGCACCTGCTCGTAGAAGAACGTCAATGGGTCAATGGGTCGACCTTCGACACTCGAAGATAGGACACATGGCTCGCAGCAGCTGATGCTTGGAGTAAGTCAGTGACCTGCACCCGATGGTTTTTTCCTTATCATCACGATCATTGTCACTTTCCCACTGGCAAATTTTCACAAAACAAAAATTGTCACTTTTACACTTTCCAAATTCACTGCCACTTTACATTTTACAAATCCACTGTCACATTGCACTTTGCAATTGAAAATTTGCATACACGTTTTCATTTTAATTCTTAGCTCCGATCGGAATACTGTTCGCGGAACAATTCCACTGCCGCTCTCGGATTATAACTCACTTACGCGTAAATAACGAACATATTAAAATATTCCGTGTTCGTTAAGGCACGCACCGTTCTGTTTAGTAACGCAAGGCGAAGCCAACTGATCGCTCGCTCGAAGATTTTCTTCCAGGAAATCTTTCCTCACTCGGGGGACAAGCAGGATGTGTACGACAAAAGGCAATTCGGCCTTGGCATCTGGTAAGTGTAAGTCTGAGAACTGTCTCTTGTCATCGGTTCGAGTGTTCTGCACGTGAAGAATTTTTAAGGACGACAAAGAAACGAAGGTCGGGTTTAGTTGAAAAATACAAACACATTTTCTGTAACGAACTTGTCCCCCGAGTGAGGAAAGATTTCCTAGAGGAAAATCTTCGAGCGAGCGATCAGTTGGCTTCGCCTTGCGTTACTAAACAGAACGGTGCGTGCCTTAACGAACACGGAATATTTTAATATGTTCGTTATTTACGCGTAAGTGAGTTATAATCCGAGAGCGGCAGTGGAATTGTTCCGCGAACAGTATTCCGATCGGAGCTAAGAATTAAAATGAAAACGTGTATGCAAATTTTCAATTGCAAAGTGCAATGTGACAGTGGATTTGTAAAATGTAAAGTGGCAGTGAATTTGGAAAGTGTAAAAGTGACAATTTTTGTTTTGTGAAAATTTGCCAGTGGGAAAGTGACAATGATCGTGATGATAAGGAAAAAACCATCGGGTGCAGGTCACTGACTTACTCCAAGCATCAGCTGCTGCGAGCCATGTGTCCTATCTTCGAGTGTCGAAGGTCGACCCATTGACCCATTGACGTTCTTCTACGAGCAGGTGCACCTACCAACCAAGAAGTAAGTCTAACTCTCATTATTTTCCCATTTTTTATGCTTTACATACTGTGTAATTTATAAAGTTGTTAGTTATTTCATTCAGTATGTTACATTTATTGAGCGAACGTGACTAACGACTAATTGCTTTGTTTTCTGTAATATTTCATCAATTTCTTAGTTTCTTTTTGCATGAAACTTTTGTTCCAACCTGTACTCTCGTCGTGAGCGCGACATACGGGCGCGGCAATGCACGAGGCGGTTGCCGCGCTCCTGCCCGCCATGTATACTCGCGCTCTGATTGGTCGGGGATTTTTGTTAATAACTCAATAACCACGCCTCGGACAACTTTTTCGCAAAGGAAAAAGTTGTTTAAAATCACCTCAGGAACCTCCCATTAAAATATGTACCACTAGTCCTGGGACACCCTGTATATATA